CATAATATTGAGGTGATTATAGTTTAGATAACAATTATTATAATCACCTGGAAATCTAATAAAAAAATTATAACAAAAATTGACAAAAGGTATTTATGCAAAATAATTCATTGAATATATTTCAAGGTATTGTAAAATTTAACGTGGTGTGAAGTTTATTTTGCTTACACCGATATGTTGATTCTGCTACATTGTAAATAATTAATTGTTAGAGTTATAATTTATTTGATTTTTTTTTTATATTAATGAATAAAATTACCTTGATAAATCGTAAAAAAGCTGAAGTATTCATGAATAAAAGTTTTCTCGTAAGTATGAAATATTACAACTAATTACTATTCGTAAGTATATACTCGTACATATATGTATTTAACAATTTTTGAAGGAACGAAAATATGTAGAGTAGAAATAAAATAATTAGAATAATTTCTGTGTACCTTTTGGTTTATTTATCGTAGTTAGTATAATATAACAATGATACAAATTATGTGTTTTATATATATATATATATATATATATATATATATATATATATATATGTATTTGTATTATAATACAAACTATTCATATATAAGATATTGATAAAAATAATTGAGTGCATAATAGAACTCTTTAAGATGGATTCTTTTCTTGTAAATCGATACTTTATTTAAATTGAGAAAACTGAGTGCTGATTTGATTTGTTTATAGTTTAAAAGTCAATGTACACAAATAAAATTAAGATATCGGGAGTTATGATTGGGTAATATTTTTCAATTCAAGTTTAATTGCATTATTACTTTTGTCCCAAAAATACTGTACTCGTGTAGAATAAATATTTCCAACAACGCACGAAGTTTTACTGTAAATTGAAATGTCTAGATCCAGTTATAATAAATTAGTATTCGATTGAACATTAAGATTATTTAATTTTTTTTTCGTATTTAAAATCAATGGTTAAAAATAATAATAAAATACTAAGTGAAGTGATTGATTAAAGTAATATTTAATCAAAGAGCAATATAATAAAAGAATCTATGTAAGTAATAAACAATTAAGACTATTACAAAAACGAATTAACCTAGAATACTAGAATGGTTTTCAGTCAATTAATACCGTGCATCTGCCAACAGACAACGGTTATGCTGATTCGTAGTATACAATAAATAGAATATAATATTAGTACCTACGTGTATTTGATATAAATAATGACGTTTAATACATAAGTATAAATATAAAAATAATAACCGCAACTGGATGTTCCATTTGGTTTTTTTTAACGCTTTTACAGTCGGACATATCCGATTAAATTGTATAACCGGATAATAAATAAGTTTGTACGTAATAAATATTGTTATTGCAGTTGGCAAATTGCGGGACTGTTTTGACAATATTTGAAATATTTTCTTTTTGCAGGGGCTAAAGTTATTTGTTTCCAACGTGAGACAATAAAAATAATAGTATCTCGTAGCAAGCGAAAAAAATAAATATAAATCGTCATCTGAGCGCGGCGGAGACGATGCCGACGATTTTATTTATCTCGGCGGCGTGGCGAAATAGGAGAACGATGAAGGACGACGATTTTTACGGGTGTCTCGCCGATCGTCCTGCTAATATTCTGTAGCTTCGTCGTCACGCTCTCAACGCACATACGTAGAATAATCTAACGTACATACGTGTATAAATAATAATTTGAAACGTTACGGAACACACGAATTCTCGTGCGGTGGGATGAAGGGGTATTTTTTTCACCGATCTCTTCGGCCGAACGCGCGTTTTAATTCCGGCCCAAAAGTCATCGCACCTCTTCGCGCCCGGCGCGTGCACCGCCCCCGCGGTAGTGCGAAGCGACGCGCCAGTCATCTCTCGCCGCGCACCCCCTAATCGATCGCATCCCGTTCCGCGTCGGTTGTAGTGTCGGAGGCGGCGGCGGCGGCGGCGGCGGCGGCTGTGACGACCACGTTGGCACCACTGGCGGTGCTGCCGCAGTCGCTCGCAACGGACGGACCGGCGTCAACACACATACCGTCGGCGTGTCGCGTACGACGGCGAAATCCTGCCTGACGAAGTCGGGCCCGTCGCCGAGGTACTCTCACCGGTGCGTCTCCCCCCCACCCGTTATTTCCGCCGCCGAACCGAACTGCAGTCGCCCGCAGCGCCGTCGTTGGACGACGCCGCCGCCGCCGCAAGACGTGCCGGTACCGGTCGAAACGTGTAGTTTTCAGTAGTGCTGCCGTTACCGGTCGACCGGTTGTTGGTGCCGTCGCCGTCGTCTCTTCGTCCGCGACCCGCGTCCGTTTTCTCGTTCGTAACCGTCGCATATACGAATCTTTAACGGTTCACGCGAGCGTTCCGCGTCGTCCCGTTGCAGCCGTACGGTACCGTACCGATCGGGAACAGTGCCGTCGTCGCGTTAGTGCTGTACCGCGCCGTCGAGGCGACCGCAATCATGTGATACCTGTAATCCGGTGTCAAAACCGAGTGCTGCCCGGACGAACGGACCGGACCGCCGACGGAAATCCCGCGGGAAGTCGCCGGACACGCGCGCGACGCCAACGCCAAGGTCAGTGGTCCATTATTGCTGTACGATTTTACGTCCGTCAGTGTTTCACTTGTCATCTCGAAATGCGGTCGTGCTAGGCTCGGGTTCAAGGTGTACCCATATACCACGGTGGCGAGCACGCCTACGCGTTCGGCGAAACGAGATTTAAAGAAGGCGCGTTCCCTCGGCACTCGTCCCGGACGCGTTACGTTCGCATCCTATTGTTTACGTTCCATCTGTTCGACGGAAAGGAAAAAGAAAAATCTAATAACAAAAACCTATACCGCTCCGGAACCGGTAGAACGGTTCGAACGCGCGTTCGCGACGACAGCGACTAGGTACGATTTTTGTTAAATCGTTAGTGAACGATATTCGGTGGTGTAGAATGGAATGGGGCGAAACACATGTACCATTAGACACAGCGACGGCGACGACGACCGTCCGACCGCCGTGCGGTAGCCCGGTCACGGACCGTATACCATATACTAAACTGGTTTTAGCAACAACAACAAACCACCACCGTGGAGACGTCTAGTCGGTCTCCGAGCGCGCCGTACGACTATACCTCTGTACATCGTTCGTATTATTATTATTATTATTACGATTGTGATCATGTTTTTGAACTATGATTAATATTCGTCGTTCTCTTTGTTGTTATTATTATTGTTGTCGGATTGCGTTTCGTTCTCGCGTTATGTACGACGCTATAATACGACGACGGCCGTAGGGATATTCTTAAGAAACATTTTTTTTTTTTTTTTTATAGAAATTCTAAATCTTTTTATTATCCCGTACGCATATCGCGGTGTTACAATATTTTTTGTTTTTCGTCGGCCCGTTAGATGGTGGTGCTAAATACTGTTGGCATGGGGTTAGTTTTATTCGTGACGATCCGTCGCGAAACAGAACGATAAAATTTGGTCTTTAATGGCGGTTGGTTTCACGGATAATCATTTTTACGATTCAGTTAGCGATAAAAGATGAAATAAAAAACAATTGTTATGTACGGCTGTCGACGTGTCTTTCGACGAACAGTACGAGATAAACGTTACATTTTACATTCCGTATATTATTCTTGTAAGTATACACGTTTTGTCCGTTCGTCGAATTCGACCGATTTCAAACAATTATGTACTATTATTCTTTTCTGGTTTTTGATATGCGAGAAAAATATTTCGCCTCGACAATTATTATTATTTTTATTATTATTTGTCCACACACAGATTAAGCTTACTTTTGTTGACATTTTAATACGTGGGCCTTATTTTTTTTTTCTCAAAAATTAATCTTATTATTTATTTGTTTTGTTTTCTTTTTTTATATTCAATTTAGAAATATTTTAACGATCGATATTTTTGTCATATCAATAGTTGTTTAATCTATTAGGTTTTAGTTTTATATTTTTTATGCCATTCATTCAAATTTATTTTTTAAGAGCTAAATCATGATATTATATGTTTTTAAATTTCATATTATGATATTTTTTTTTATAATTTTTGTTTTTATTTGATAAGGATATACTAATATTAAAATAAAAAAAGATATTAGGTGGCAGTATTATATAAATTATTTTTGTTTTGTGTATTATGTTATATGTTTTATTTGAAAATTGTTTTTTCATCCGCCATAGAAAATTAAATTATAAATGTTCATTATAAATACTATCATATTTATTATTATAATATTATCATCATTGGATGATTACCAAATGTGTATTGTATAAAGCAATATAATAATTGGAAGTGATGATTAATATTTAAGTTTCAAATTCAATTAATTTGATAGACATCTATGACATTGTGGGACTTAATCACGAGCTTAATCTATTGAGTGACAACTGTAAAGAGAATAATAAGAACATTAAAAATTTAAAATAATAAATCATTTATAAGAGAAAGATTTAGTGATTATTTTTAAATCAGAAACACTATAAACGGTTTTAAATTGGATTTTAAAAAATTTTTCAACTCTTTTTTTTTTTTTTTCTATTAAAATTATTTTTTGTTTTTAATGGTTATAGAACTTAATGTTCAGCAGTGGAAATGTATTCAATACATTGACACCAAGGAATATTTTATTCAGTTACGTAATTTAAATAACTTTTCATTTTTAATATGTCTCGTGAATAGCTAATAGGTATAGTATAAATATTTTGGTAATTATTTTATCTTAATATTTAGTATAAACTATAAATATTTGAAATGTAGTGTTATAGATAGATGAAAAATACGTATGAAATATGGATTAAAAGATATATATTAAAATTAAAAATAATTCACTTTTTAAATGTTCAATGATTAACTCATGAGAAAATTTATGATTCAAATTAAAAACCTTAAAAGTTTTAAAAAATGTGCTCAGGGTTACTACTTAAGTATAAATTTAATTGTAATAAATTAAAACATGTACCGATATAAGGATTATATAAGTGGACACTGTTAATTTGAACTTATATAATTATTAATTTATTTTTATACTTTTTACAAAAATTTAGGTACGGAAAAAAGTTTTTGTTGTTGTTTGTAAAAATAAGCAAGATACATTCTACACATTATAGTAAATATAAACAATAAAAATGAAAAGGAAGATAAAGAAAAATATAGTAAGTACATAATTTTCAATTGCTTTTAATGTGGTACAAAATTGTTTGAAAATAGACGTTAAGTTTAAACTTAAATAAAAAATAAATAATTTCTTTGATTACTTTCAAGAAGAACTGCAGGAATAGTTAGCGCGTGTTATAATAAGAAAGTATCGGTTCATAAATCGCGGGTTATATTTTTTATTATTTTTTTTTATTATTATTATTATTATCATTACTTGGCTATAACTTATATTTTTTTTTTTAACATAATAATTTCGCGGAACGATTAGGAATTTAAAAATTGGCTCATTCGAATTCACGGACAGCAGTCACGGAAACCACCATGCCCTATAACATGTATAATAATAACAATAATAATAATAGTAGTAGTAATCATAACACAACTATTTAGCTTTACGTTCACAAATCATGTGCTGTACGTGAAATCCAGTGGCCGTGCGGTTTTTACTATGTCGGCTCGGGTAGGGCTACGCACGTGATGTTGCATCGGAATGACGCATTGCGCTATATGGGAACCCACCGCTGTCATCGAACGTGTACGTGCGTTTGTATAATATAAATTCACTATATCACTGGTCATCAGGAAACCGTTGGATTTTTTTTTCACATCTTTAATTTTAATTTTTCCTATCCTATAGACTTTACTCTACTTTCCGAGTTAACTCGTTCTTATTTGTATAAATTAAAACATTTACGTACCTTGGTACATACATATCACTTAAGAGAGTATATATATATATATATATATATATATATATATATGAATAAAATACACAATATATTTATACATATAGATAGGTACTATATTGTAGAACACAGTGTCGTAGATAGAATTTTTTTCTGGGGGGGGGGTTGTTTAAAAGTCAATTCATAATATTCTTAGTATATCTTAATACGAGGTCCTTTATAATAATATTACATTTAAAATGTTATTATTATGTACCGTATTTAATGAAAATTATTTTGTTACTTAATTTTTAATAAATACCTAATCATAGTAAAATGAAAATATAATTTTACTATAATATGTAAATAATAATAAATAATAATTAAATATCATTAAAAAATATCTCGGGGGTGTGGAAACCCCTTACAATCTCCCCTCATTAATAAAGCTGTAAAGTTTACGTACAACCGTAAATCTATTTGCGTGTATTCCTATTAATATAATATGTGTGACGCGTCGTATATATAATTTTTAATGCACATTATATAGCATAATGTATCAATGGAACTATATTTGTTTATTTATAATATTTTGGAAAAACGTATAGTGTGTTAATTACCATAATTTATATGAATAGAAATGCTGCGGTTGCGGTCAAGAAGCCAGCAGGTGAATTATACGTATAGATTGTCGATTTTTTAGGAGTAAATCGTTTTAATTGTCTATAGTGTGCCGCCAGGGTCCTATTTATGCAAGGATATTGTAGGTAATTGTCCAGGGCCCATGCGGATCAGGGGCCCACCTACTGGATTTAATTATTCTTTTTATTTCAATTAATTCTTAATTTTTTTTAATTAATCTCAAAAGAATTAAAAATAGATTAAGATCATCTTTGGGTCGAGAAATATTGGATGGCCTAAGAATCTTATCTATTGAAAATTATATCACTGCAAGAATTAATTTCGATGAAGTTATTGATGCATTTGCAGAAAAAATGACTGGAAAATATTTTTTTTTTTAAATTTTGAAGATTTTTTAATATCTACATTTGAATACCTACTGTTTAAATTAATTTTAGAAAAATTTTTTTTTGAAGATTCTGTAAAAAAGTACCTACATTCTAATATTGTTTTATTTACAAGTAGTGACTGGTGATTATATTTACTAATTATAATTTAATTTACAATTCATAAAAATAGGCCAACTTTTTTTTTTGTCCCGGGTCTAAAAAATTCTAAATCAGGCTCTGAGTATGCTAATCAATAAATACGGGTACCCATGCATAGATACTTATATTAAAGGGTACCTCTATTATAATGTTATACCTGAAAGTATCATCTGTATTTCTAAACTCACTGACGTCGTGTGTAGCCGACCTACGGTTTGTATATATATATGTATTATTATCAAATTTTAGTATGTAAATATGCAATATGCCTATATATTTAATATTATAACTGTTATGACACTCACGTGGTTAAAATATATCTTGTAGATAAGTATAGTTATTACTTATTAAATATATTTGTTGAATTTTCAATCAATTATTTAACTATTATGGTATAATATCTGCCTATCATAAATTTAGACTTATATATCATTAAATTGATAATTAGAATTTTATCATTATTAATTATGAGTTATAATCCCGGTTGTTATTATTATTTCAAAATTAAGTACACAATTAAGTGTCTATGAATGAATAATTGATTTTATTATGTCACACATATGGTTAGACTTGATGTTTAT